GCCACATCCCAAGGAAGCAGACAGTGGCCATATTCCAGCATCTCTTCACCTGCTCTGCCTGTGAATAAAGGCAGCTCCAAAAGTAATGCCTCCTATTTTAGCCTGGTCCAAGATGGCAATAGAGGTTCACGCCAGTATTTCATTGCATCTTGTTGCTGTGTGAGAGATGGCAGCAGAGGGGCACTTGGACAAAATGGCATTTGACACAGAAGTGCATATGAAAGAAAGCTGTGACATTTAATTCCTCCATGCAGGAAAAATGACACCAATTGACATTCACTGGCGCTTGCTGAATGATCCTGGAGACTAAACAGTGGACGTGAGCACAGTGAAGTGGTATGTGGTACATTTCAGCAGTGGCAACAGTGACATGAAAGGCAAGCTACATTCTGGACAGCCATGCGCAGCTGTCACATCGCAAAATGAAGAGTGTCTTGAAGAGCTTGCCCATGCAAATCTGCAGATTACAACCAGAGAAGAACTGTATATGGAGCTGAATATGTTTCAATGCAGCGGAAATGATGGTGGCAATGTTGGAATGTTGATAAAATTGTACCAGGTGGGTTCCACAAATGCTCACTTGGGAACAGAAAGAATACTGTATGCAAATTTCTCAGGATCTGCATAACCAATAGTGTCACCAAGGTGACATTTTCCTGGATTGCATTATTACCAGTGATGAATTTTATCATGTTACCACTACAAGCCAGAATCAGAATAGCCATCCATGGAGCAGCAACATCTGAACTCCTCATTGAAGAAAAGTTCAAGACACAGCCCTTAGTGGCTTAAGTGATGTGTACTTTCTTTTGGGATAGGAAAGGGGTGATCCTTCTGGATTTTCTGAAACCTGGACAAACTGTCAACTCTGACTGCTTCACCACGACACTAAGCTGAACACTCAAACTGCCAGAGACAGACCAGAGACAACAACTTTCTCTTACAACATAACTCCAGGCCCCACACACAGTTTGAAGACCATGGAGAACATTGCTGATCTTGGCTGAACTGTCCTACTATATCCACAGTATAGTCCAGATTTGGTGCCTTCTGACTTCCATCTGTTCAGACTGATTGTCACAACTTAGCTGTTTCATTACAGGTGACAGGACTTTACTCCCCTCCCATTCCCTCTTCTGGAGGGGGGGGGGAAGTATGAAAACTCAACCAAGATAGGGAGGGATAATTAATTTACTACAAATGATAAAAGAATATAAGACAATATGAAAAGGAGATACAGGTAATAAATACAACCAATGAGAGAGAGAGGAGTTCTGAACATGTTGCTTGCTGTGCTACTGGAAATGGAAGAGATCTTTCTCCCCCGTCATTATGCTATTCTACCTCTTTTACCTGGAATCAGAAATCACATGGAGAGAACTGGAGAATTCTGTGAGCTGCAGTCTCTCCCTTCTCAGTGTATTTTCTTCTGGGAGATACAGAACTCATGTAAGAATAGTTGACACTACCAGAAGATGAGGCAGGAAGGGCAGGAATGCAGCTGCCTGGCACTATGTTCCAGCACTAAACAGCTTGATGCACGACGTCTTGATATGGAATATTGATGAAACCAGGACACTGATGAAATCTGGATGACAGGCAACATTTCCCTAGCAATAATGCCACTGTAGCAGCTGTGTTACAGTGGATCCTCTCCACTGGTGCAGATTTTTATCACTGTGCCATGCAGACTCCTCTTCATGGCTGGCAAAAATGCATAGCTATTGGTAGTGGCTATGTTGGCAAATAACATTTTATAGCTAAGAATTTGCTCTATCAAATTGTTACAGTGCTCTTTGTATCTCTTGTAGTTTCCATGGAAAGAAATAGGAGGCATTACTTTCAGAGCAGCCTATGAATTTTCAGCACCCCTGCAGCCAAATATCCAATATCTCATAAAACTTCTCTGTAGAACCACAACAACTAGTTTGTCTCTCAGGAGAAACAGAAATGGTTCTCCTCCCTATAGGTTTCATCCATCACTGCTGCAGGACATTTTGTGATGGAGTGGAGAAAGATTATTTTATTTTTTCTGAGCTTTGTAACAAAAATGGTGCTGAAACTGATGGGCAAAACATTTTGGACTAACAAAAATATACGATTCTTTACCCAACTTGCTGTGAGGCTGGACATTTCATTATTACAAGTACACTGAGGCAAACAATTGTAAAATTCAAAGGGAGTATTGTTCTTCTGGTTAAATAACAAAAGTAGCTGAAGAGTTTAAGAGTTATTGCCAACAAAAGCAGGAAAAATATCCTTCTTTGAGTTCTAGTCCAGTCTTCACCTACTAATTATCAGAATGTTATCTTCCTGGGGCTGATTCTGCCACTTAAGTCACATGCTGATTTTCATTTAGGTGCAGGATAATAGATGTGTAGTTGACTCAGGCTGACAACTCCCATCTCTTAATGTTACTGGCATATTTGTTTATATCATTATCATACTAAATGTTCTTAGCATCATTAAGACCGTTGTTGTAATGACATGTAATGTTAAATAGCCCTTACCCTCAAATGTTCACCATCTAAAAAGCTAGAAAATAGAGTTTCTCGCTAACACTTCCCATTCTTTTGTCACAGCTGGAAAAGCTTAACACAAAACACGTTCCCAAAACAAATAACACAAGGACAAAGATAACTTTGGCAAACAAAAGCTGGAAATAAAACTGCTTTCCTTGATTTAACTGCAAACACTAGCAGTATTTAGGAAAGGGCCATTAGTCTTTGCATTTCGTCAAAGTAGATGCTCTGGGCTGCCCTTTCATCTAATGGTCTGAAAGTCATCTCATACAGAACTAAGAGGCATAAAACATTACAAACATTCATTCCAGAAACAAAAATACTTAGAATAAGTTTGCTCCAAACCATCTAAATATGTTGCTATTTTTCATTTGATAGGAGTAGTATCTTCCTTCATTCTACTATGCAATTACATGTGGCAAAATACATGAGATAACTGTACCAACCAAGAAATTGTCCCAAAGAGGTTGATATTTTTTCTAATCTTTCTAGATTTTAAAGACTTCAAGAGAACATTATTTTCAAACTTTCAAAGTATCAGTGAGTTTTTTTCCCTTGCTTTCTCTCTGCTTTTTTCTTAGCAACTTAAAATGCTTGCATAGCACAAAAAAAAAAAAAAAAAAAAAAAAAAAAAAAAAAAAAAAAAAGAAAAAGAAAAAGAAAAAGATTTCAAACACTTATTTCATTAGCAATTGCATACACACTGGGAAAAAGGAAAATCTATCACATATTTGATACTCTGCTAATTCCAGGCCAAATTTTATTACTTGTGATTTACTGACATTGGCTAGCAAAAACTGTGCATCTAATTAACTTTCTGCATCCTATTCTGGAAATAAAGGTCTCCTGGGTCTGAATGGACCACAGTTTGCATTTGGTTTCTAAAGACAGGAGCACTGCTTTTGCATCGAAGGTCCAGTAGTAATGTACTGTGTGAAAGTAGAACTGTGTGACTTGGATCTTTATTCCCTATTCCATATCAAAGAGATGCTTACTTGGAAAGACTACCCAGAGGAATGGCTTATGCTTGCATACTGTAGAACTACCATGACTACTATTACTACTATGGAGTCCAAAGACTCTTCTCCTCTAATGACAGCTGAGGCAGAGGCTTAGCAAACCCTTGTATTAAAGTGATGCTCCTGATCTCCTAAAATGCCTGGATTTTATGCCAATACAAAACATCACTCAGTTCTCTAAGATACACTCATTGAAAGCAAATTCCCACTTTGGCAGTTCCTGAATGCAAGGTCTTTTGAAGAACCCCTATTTGCTCTGGAATGAGCATGAGATCAGAATTAGGCCCCAAGTTTAAAAAGAATTCTGAATTTTTTTTTCTTTTCATGGGAATGGAATAGAAAAGCAGTTTCTTTATGCTGGTTGTGGCAGATAACTTTGCCTATTACTTCCCCTTTTAGTAGACTGTCGCACACTATTAAACCAATAATTACTGAAAAGAGGAGACCAAACTGTCCACAGATAGTTAAAATGCACAACATTCTATTGTGAGTTTGATTGAATGCTTTGTGCTCATTATACAGCACTATGGATTAAAAAGCAAAGTAGGAAATTGGAACATACTGTCATTGCTTTATTAACATCAGGTTTATAAGCACAGGAAAAAAATACATAAGAAAATATGCAGGATGGAAAATTGTATTATACTTTTAATGTTTGAATATACAAGGTATCAAATATGGCAGGAAGGCACAAAGTCTGGAGTTTTTCTTCATATCCTTTATCAGAAATCTGTTAATACTTTTCACATACATTCTGTTTAATGCAGCCTTTTTTTTTTTTTCCCTGAAGTATGAAGCAATAACATTTGCTAGAAATATTTTATAGATGAAAATTTCATACACCAAAGAGTGGAAATATTATCAAGTGACTTGCCCATGTTCCATTGAGAGCTAATAGTCGAGGATGAGCCTACCTTTTGCACTTGTCAAATTGACCCCTGCCTCCTGGAGAAGGTTTGCTGCTATGGAAATACTGTAACTTGAAATTTAACTCATAGGATACTCTTAGCAGAAGGGTAAATTCTTTCTTACATAGTTCAGGATATCATATTGGGTCAATATGATGCTTTTATAGTCTCAGTGTGGCTGAGATTGTGGGGCGCTAAATCTAGTGAATTAGATGTAGTTTGGTATAAATATGTGAAAAGGCTTACTGCTCAAATGGCAAAAGTGTAGGGAGGTTTCACTTTTCAGTAGCTGGCAGCCTTCAGCATAGTTAAGCAAGCTGTCCAAGCAGCTTTTGTATCTCCATAGGTTCCCACTATATTTTAAAAGTGTGCTGCCTTATCAAACGTGTTGGCTGCTTGCCTGAGTCATAAAACACAATCCATAATTTTCTAACACTGAGGTGGAAATTTCAGCATAGTTCAAGACCTCTACTGGCTTCTTCTTATAGTCTGACACATACCAGAAGTTCAAATTCTCCCATCAGTAATGTAAAAAGCGTTCTCCCACTTACTTGCTGCTCAGGCAACGTCTCAGTGAATATGAAGCCCCTCCTCCACACGTGCGTGAACATTCACTCCATGAACCCCAGGCATCCCACAGTGAGTCTTGATCTTCCTCTGAGCGAGCTGTTCTGGAGCTCTGAAGAGAGGGAGAGAGAAAAAAAAATCACAAAAAAAACCCACCTCAGGGACAAAAAATACTGCTGCTAGCTTAATTCTGTCTGTTTCTGGATATTGTCATGGTCATTGAAGACACTGAATAAATCCATTCTCTGGCATTTCTACTGACTGGTAGATGCTCTTCTAGGGAAGAGTGCTGTATGAATTTGCCTTCATCTTTTGAGTATCTTGCTCTGTCTCAATTTGAGACTGGTGATGATTATTATAGAAGAGTACTTTGGGCAGCAGTGAAGAAAAGTATTTTCCTGATTAAAAGGAAGAGGGAGAGCTGGAGACATTGGAAATTGTGCTTTTAACTTTTGCCGCTGAGTTAGAAACTATGAAATAGCATATTAAAAAGTGCCTTTTGAGGAGCTGCTCAGGAGAAAAAGAACCACAGCATAGCGAATCCACATGATACAAATACATTTAACAAAACTTTTCATGCATTCACCTTAAGGAATTGGAACTATCATTACATTTTCTCTGTCCAAAGATCGAAGTACCTATGCATGAGAGTGCGTACTCATTCAAATGTTGCTGTGGGCAGTCACACACTGAATTCTACACTTCTACTGGTATTTGGAATAAATGAGAAGACAAGTGTATGAGCAAAGCTTTGTACATCTTCACCAGAGAAAAAACAGCAAGCAACATTATACTGCTAGAACTTGTTAGAAGATTGATGTCACCTGTCAACATTCAGGGATTATTTCAGAGATAGCACAACACTAAAATTGTTTCATCTTCACTGAAGCTCTGTAAAAGTTTGTAATGAAATCTGAAACCAACTGGAATACACCAGTATTGAATACTGTTATTCATGGGCAAAAAAGGAAGTGGTGGTGATGGTTTAGGGTTGTGAGCAGTTTTAATATATATCAGTATAAGGAAGATACTGAAATCATCATGTGATGCTGAGATCCAAACTGAACAATGTTTCTGTGGAGAAAAGGGTTAAGTCTGGCACACTAGGACATGAAATGCATGTTAATTGGGATTTAGCGAGGCAAGAGGTTAACTATTCCATTTACTTTCACGAGCCAAGAATGCATTGTATAGTCTTACCACCAATACTGAGAGATATTTTCCAATGTGTAAATAATTTAATCCTACAAAACTTTTCAAGGGCATTCCTGAACACCCACTAGTGTCATCTGTGTTGCTAAATAAATAGCCAGGCTACCTGAAATGAAGAGCATGTCTTTTATTGATTGTCTCTATATTCAACTCAGTAACAAGGCTAAAGTCTCACATCAAACCTGTTTCTCCCACAGAGAGCCAATGATCACAGTATTGTATACATTTGCACCCTTTGATAGTCATCAGCTCCATACATCTGAAAGATAAAAACACTCCAAGTGCTGTTCCTACCATCCCCTGGGAGTCTTCTGCCCTGAAGCAAGCTCACAGATCAGAACTTAACTTACTCAAGTTGACAGAGTAATTACATTGTTTTGTTCACTCCAAAAAGCCAGATAGACTGGCACAATAAATTAAGAGTAACTAAACAAGAGCTGATCATTTTAAAATTGCTTAACTTAGCTCAGAGTGTGTGCAAATTGGCAAAATTCAATGGATAAATTGTCTGAAAGAAAGAAAAGTAAGATTTGTAAGACACCTGTCCAGCCACTTTCTCTTATTTCCCTCTATTTCCATTCTTTCTTCCATCAAGGCACAGCCCAAACCTGATCTTGTCTGTCTGTTTGGGCAGAGTGGGTTTTCCTCCCTGCAAAGAAACCAAACATGGTCGTTTATTTTGACAGGGAGAGTTCAGTCAGAGGCTAGTATCAGTCAGGACAATGGCAGAATAAAGCAACAGGCCATCCACTCAGCTGTAACTCCCTGGCATTTCACAGTGGACGTCTGCTGCATTCCTTATGTTGCTGTTCATTCACCCTTCAAAGGCACGTGTCCTTCATTTTTTAACCAGAGCATGCATTTTAGAAGACAAATATACAAACGTCCCTTGCAGTCTATTTGGCTGACACAAAGAAAGCCAGTCCTTTTGAAAGACCTTTAGATCTGGTTCAAAGAACACTGCGGTGAAATGAAGACTGTCGTCAAACTAAAGAGGCTCAAGAAAATAACACTGAAGACAAGCTGAGTATTAAAAGAATGACTTAAAACGAACTCCAAACAATTTTAAAACTTTTTTTTTCTTTTAATTTATTTTTAAATTTTTCAAATAATTCCAAAAAAGGAAGTTAAACCAAGCATACAGAAGGCAAGCTCTCCTTTATCAGCTCTGGTGAAGGACCTCTACTACTCTGATCCTGCTGCCCCATTTTTTGCACTTTTGCCAAAGTGGACTGTGCTAGCTGTGCTGAGTAACTTGATGATTCCGTGTTGTTACCAGCCTCCATTTTCAGTTTGCTTCATGGCATGCAGTATGTAATGGTATTTTAAACACATACAGTACTTCCTTCTGCAAAACAGGTTTTGGAGGGTAGTTTAGATGAGTAATTGAGTCAGTTTTAGGTTTCCGTAGCATTTAGTATGATGTAATTTTTCTTTGGATCTACTGCTAGGAAAAAAAGCATGAATTAATTTAGTCAGTGAGACATAATGTTGGATATGTCTAATGAATGAGTGACAATGATTTGACACTATCAGTTTATCTTACCTTATTAAAATGCAACATGATTTATTTTCAACACAATGGTAAATGGGTAAATGTAAAATCTAAGGTAAGGTAAGTATTCAAACTCAAAATGTGGTTGATCCCCACAGCTGCAGAAGATCACACATGCACCAATTTTACAGATGCCATCCATCATCTAGATACAATCTCATTAACAGATAAATGTGAGACAAAAGGACCAGGATGCCAGTTTATCAAGTTTATTTCAGCTGTTTTCTGAAGGGTATTTTTAGAATAAAACTTCGTGTTTGTACTTTTTTGCAGCTAAGAAAGAAGTCTGTATTTATGCTTTTACTTCACAAGAAAACTAAAAAAAGGGTTCTTGTCCTGGTTGTTTAGCACTGGTTGAAAGCCCAGTCAAAGACATAATTAAAAAGGGTTGCAAGGTAAAATCACATAAACCAAGTACTCTTACCTCATCACAGATTATAAGCATCAGCACAGCGAGACATTCTAAAGGTCCAAATTTTTCAGAAATAAGTTGTACTCCCACCCAGAGGGGAGCCATGTGCCTGTTATTTGCATTCTGAGATTTGTTATAAGACCTATATATTCCCAGAAAGCATGTGATCTCAAGCTGGAACAGGCTCCAAGTTTTTTTTTAACAAGTGGAATAAACATAATTCATTTCAACTCTATCCACGTTTAATGTTAAAGAAAGTAGTGTGGTTTTCTTTCTTGCAAACTGTACAGTTAAGCTTGTGCCTGAAATTCTAGCAATGCCTGAAGAGCCAAATCTGAAGAAGATTATGGTTACACTGCAGGCTTAAGGAGTATCTACCATTACAAGCTAAGGATTCACTGTTCAGTGCAAACTTTTCGTAAGGATCTTATACCACTAATTCATAGTTTTTAACCACTTTCAACCAAGCCATCTAAGCTGAGAAACCTACATAAAGACATGAAGTTACTGTCATAAATAGTAAGCTGGGAAATAAAACAGAGAAGAAAAACAAAACAACCAAACAACAACCAGAGCAGAGGCAGGTACGGCCTCTAAATATGAGAGAAGCAAAGCAGCCACCAGCTGAAGCTTGCTTTAAGTAACACTCCTGTTTTAGAAGTCTTTTATCCCTATCGGAAGTACCCAGGTTGGTACCTTTCAAATATCAATATATGCCAAAGGAGCAGAATGCAGACACTCATGAAGGTTCATTACACCCTGCTGCTGATTCCAAAAGAGCTTCCTTCCCTATCCTGTCTATCCAGGTGGATCTCAGTCTGAGATTCCCAGGAAACACTCACTGTTTTGTCCTGATATCTACAGCATCAGTGGTAGAAACGTCACTCCCTGAAAGCAATTTTCTTATAAATGACCTACATAAAACAACAACAAAAAATCAAAATCAGCTCTTTCTTTATATCTCATTACGCTAATACACAATTAACCTGAGGATGATCCTGCAGCTAACACCCAGTACAGCAGTTGCAGAGGAAAGGGGGATGAGGATGCCTAAAATAATCCTCAAAGGAGAAGGAAACCTTATGCATTTATCCAAGAGAGCAAGAAGGATCATGTGTACAAAATAGAAGGATGAAGAAATGAACTCCTTGTCAGTGGATAAATTATAGCATTGAAAATCTTTAAAAAAAAGGGGAGAGGGAGAGGTATTTAAAATATGACTTGAAAAAAGAGCTTCTTAGAATATAACAAAATTAGTCTGACCAATAAAAGAGCTTGGTGTCCAATTTTACTGTAAAAAATTCTAGCATCAGTGTTTAATGGTTATTTCTAAGAGTTGTCAAGCATTCATGTTATAATCAAACTATGAGCTGAATAGCAGGTCTTTCGTACTCTCTCCATTAACACACAGTATACACAGAAATCTTTTACAACATCTGGAATAGTATGTGAAAAACACAACAAGTGTCACACATCTTTAAATCACAACAGCTGCCTGACCATCCAGGAGCTGCATTCCTGATGAGAAAACCATGTCTCTTTCAGGAGCATGTGTGTACACATGTGTATGAATGCACAGAGGGAGAAACACGAAAAGTAGCAAGACCTCTGCTCAGATCTGAGACCTACAAAAGTAGTTCAGCCTTAAGAAAATAAATGTCTTAGTCACATACTGGAATTTAATTTAAAATTTTCCTTGGAACTGTAGTATCCCTACAGAAGCCAACTATTTGTCAGTGTCACACAGAGAAGAGTGTGTATAAATGCAGATCATGTTATTTCATTGCTCTTTGGTTACAAAGGTTTCCAGCCTTCCTCCTTCTTCAGCAAAATGTTGCTAAATTCATATTTTTCAAGACACTTGTATGTTTCCTAGATTAAACAGCAATATAGGTAGCACAAAATGCAGTTAACCTGTTGTTGGAGTAAGGCA